AGAGATTACTTTAATAAAGTGTTAGAAATAATATGAAAAACAGTTCAGAGAAAACATACTGTATGTTTACGTTACAATCCAGAGGAGGCCATTTGGCCCATGTAGCCTATTTGGTAGTTAATAGGTAACTAACCGAATCACAGCAGCATGGTGGTGCAGGGATAAGCATTGCTGTCCAGCAGCACACGGGTCCTGAGTTCAATTCCGAATCTGTGGTGCTTTTTCTGCAGAGTTTGTATGTTCATGTCCTTGTGGGCTTTCTCTGGGTGCTTTGGTTTCCTCCCACAATCCAATGACATACAGTAGTAGTAGGTTAATTAGCTTCAGGAAACACTAGCCCTAGGTGTAAGCGTCTGTTTATTCTGCTCTGTGAAAGACTGGTGTCCCATCCAGGGTGTACCCTCCCTTTTGCACGTTGCTTGCCAGGATTGAGCAAGCTCTCTCGCGACCTGAATTTAAAGAAGTGGTTAGTAAATGGTTGGATGGATGATGCAATGATCTTCTCCAGACATTTCTTGAAAGAAACCAGGGTATCGGCTTTAACAGAACTGTTGGATATCTTACCCACTCAACCCTTAATATTCTCCTGTTGTAAAATGAACTTTCACATCGTTTCCAGATGTTTGTGTTTCCTCTTGTTTGTTTTTCATGGTTTATTCTGAAGACGTCCACAGTTTGATTTCATCACTGCCTTTGAGTGAGCTCCCCTCTCTGTTCAAGATTTAAACAGTTCAGTTCCTATAGCTGTCAGTGTAAGGCAGTGGTTCTCAGGGTTTTGAACAAAGTACCACCCCTGATCAAACCAAAGCATTCAAATACCACCTACAAGACATCTTCTCGCAGAAACCACAGAACATCTCAATGACCAACATGAGCACGCGTGCACACGCACTCACACACACATATAATAAAAACAGCACTGAGCACTTGGATAATTTGGATCGTACCATCTTGTAGCCATTTTGGAATGCTTGTTAACACTAGCAATGCTGTCTGTGTCAGGTTCAGCAGCAGAGCTAATGTCGGTGGCCGATGCATAATCCTCCTCATTTTTAACAGGTGTGCGTGATCTATCAGAGCCGGTGTCAGTACTCATGGCATCTGTTCCGTTCAAACATGACATTATACTTGCGAGGTATTCGTTTTCAATCAATTATTCTGTTGGCAAATATGGCGCTGTTGGATAATTTTTTCCCCATTTCCCCTTAAAAGACAGTCAGGAGTCCATCTCAGAAGTTAAAAGAAGTTTATTTTATGCGCACAGGAGCGAAACACACAGAGGTGTTCGTTGTATTTTTTCTCAAAGTAATTAACCTAGAACAGTCCTTAAATATTTTTCTGTTATCTATCATGCTTTCCTGTGCTTACAAGATTGGCAGTCACGAACATCCTCCTACCTCCCTATTTGCTAAAGATCACTTTTTTTAATACAGTTGGTCACCTAGGCTCATAGAACGCATTCCTATACAATGGCATGTACAGTATTTAGTAGTCCACTCAACTATTAGCGTGCTGTATCGATGTAGCTAAGTACGTACAGTAGGCTGTGTATTTGACACATAAACTAATTTTATTCAAATAGAAAATATGAAAACCCATCTCAAGCTTTCTGAAACCGATTAAGTAAATTACAGATGAAACATTTACATAATTTTTAATTATTCAATTTTTAATTCCCAGTTTGTCAGTGCATACAATCCATTTCCAGGGTCATCTGGCATTTTTAACCTGGGGGCGCATACCACAGGCATTTCACTGAGTTATGGAAAGTACTGTATATATAGAAAATTCATTGTTTATACAATATTCTAAATGAAATCGACCAGTACATTTCTCACTTTAAATATTGTGATTTCTGTATATATACAAACATTTTGTGTTTTAAAGTTTAATTATATTGTCTAGAGAATGCAAATTGTATTTCAACATAAATTTCTAAGTCAGTTTCATAAATTCCCTCTTCTATCTCAGCATTTCCCAATTAGTATATACTTGAATTCTAATTATTTTCTAGTCTATTTTTCTGTCTCTACTGTGTTTGCCAATCCTCTTATTATGGTATTGTGCAAATGTGACTACTTTACTAACTAGTCCAGAATGTGTACAAATGATAGAAATCAGGGAGCATTGTGCTCCTACTAGAGATCACTGTGGTACTTCGCTGGTAACATCAACCTAATTTGACCATTCAAACATTTTCAGTCACAATCCAAGTACAAG